CGCCGCCCGCCACGAGATCCAAGGCGGCTCTGCTCGCCGCCGACAAAAACACCCCCCCCACACACCCCGCTCTTCCAAATCCGGTCTCCGCGCGTTCTCAACCGCCGCCACTTCATCTCCCTATCCCAGTATGTAACGGGTTTTTTTCCCGCCAGCCAAAACCCGCGAAGTCTTCGGGCGCCTTCGCTAAGTTTACCATTTCGAATTCCGCTGAAGCTCAAACAAGCAAGGTTAGCGAAAAGGCTAGTCAAACACCCAGCGAGATCCCACCAGCTACTCCGTCGCACCGCGATTCAAACTGCGCTGTCTCCCGCCTTCCACGCTCTCTTTATACTGCAGAATGTTCCCTCATCCGGGAACTTCGATTGCTCATCGCACCAATGGCTGCCTCCCGCCCTCGAAACGCGTCCTTGAGTCCTCAGCCAATGAGCAGGCGAAGAAAAGGGCGGAGAGGCGGGCTCTTCACAGCTCGAGCCGCGATTGGAGTTCAGGGAGAGAGGGAGGGAGGTGGGGACGGGAACGAGGGAGAAGAAGGGCAAGGCTGCGGGAGGGAAGAAACAGAGCGAGTTGCGCTGCGGGTGTGTGGAGACCAGCCGGTTGCGGTCACGTGTGTGGGAGGCGCTGAGAGGCTCCAGAGAGGAGCACACACTAGCGCCCCCTTGTCCCCAAATTTCCCAGCAGAGCTTCGAAGACTATGTGTTGGGGTCTAGGGAGCCCTTCTGCCCAACCCCCTACCTCACCCCGGGGGCAGAAACATAGCTGGCCTCAAAGCTTTTCTCCCCGGGCGCTCTCCTTGCAACCCCCCGTGTCTTCTACCGGACAAGTAGCGCCAACGCGTCTAGAGAGAGCCAAGGCATCTGCTCGGCGTCTCCGCGAGTCAAGTCCCAGACTTGATTGACTGTCCGGCTCTGAGAGTCCCCAGGAACTGCTCCCGCAACATTTTCAGCTGTGGTTTTTACCTCCCAGAATTCTACTCACCACTTTAGAAACCACCAATGGGATAGTTGCACTAGGAACAAACGATGGAGCAAAACCTCAATGGTCACAAAAGACTTTTGTGTACCTTACAGGGGACTTGGGGTGCGGCAGTGTGCTCTAATTTAAAAACTATTCCAAGGACTCTACACACCAATAGAATATATCAATAGTCTAGTGTCTATATAAAGTTGATTTAGTGAAACCTAAACTATTATGTGTCAACTTTGCTACGCTAAAAATTTTGCTACATGACAAATGTTTACTAAATGCCAGTAGGGTAACTCGAACATGATTCACAGGCAGTTACAGATGGTCCATGTAATCAATTGCAAATGGTAGTCTTAAAATATAGTACTGTACACACAGTACTATCATAATGCCAGCTACTTAGACTTCCAACTAATAGATTAGTAACACCTGTGTATATCTCCAGCTGCTTGGGATAGTAGTGACATAAATCTTCCATACTTACAATGTTTAATAGCATATTGCATTTTAAGTGTAATTGAATAGTGTGGCGTCCTGATGGGGTGCTGTGGAATAAAGCACTGGACCGCAAAGTCGGTTTTAACCACAGAGTCATCTATTTGTACCATAAGTTCAGCGGTTCAAACTCAC